TGGAATGAACTTCCAGAGGAAGTCATGGATGCAAGTACAGTTACAACATTTAAATAAGTACATGAATAGGACTGGTTTGGAGGGAAAGTGGCCAAATGTAGGCACATGGGACTAGTTTATTTTGGGAACATGGACTAGTTGGACCAAATGGTCTGTTTCCATGCCGTATCTTATTTAGTTTTCCCTATAGCAAGCCATGCCATTTCCTATAACTATTTACTGGTCTAACCAGCAGAGTCTCTTGTAATTTTTTAAAAATTCATTAACGCAATGAGGGCATCACTGACCAGGCAGCATTTATTGCCCATTCCTAATTGCCCAGAGGGCAGTTGCGAGTCAACCACATAGCTGTGGGTCTGGAGTCACATGTAGGCCAGACCAGGTAAGGATGGCAGTTTCCTTCCCTCAAGGACACTAGTGAAACAGATGGGTTTTTTTTTTCCTGACAATCAGCAATGTCTTCATGGTCATCATTAGACTCTTAATTCCAGATATTTTTATTGAATTCAAATTCCACCATCTGTTGTGGCAGGATTTGAATCCTGGTCCCCAGAACATTACCTGGGTCTCTGGATTAACAGTCCAGCGATAATACCACTAGGCCACTTCATTGTGTTAGCAACTCATTGTTTTCATTGGCATGAAGAATATTGTGAGGGAGACTTTGAGGAGGACCAGATACTAGGTGTTATGCTTTTGAGATCCTAAGCTATTTTTGCCACAGATCCATCTTGCATCAGTGAGTGGTCATCCTGAGGGCATTCTTGTCCAGTTAAAATTGGCACCATTGTATTTGAAGACAATTTCAGGCTTTTTGTTTTGTGATTCAGCTTGTTCATTTGTGGAAGCTCTTCTGCTAGAATGTGTCTCCTGTTTGTTGATGTCTTGATTCTTTAATACAGTCAGGTACATATGGATAACGATCAGCCACTTTGTATGTGTAGGTCTGATGCTCCCTTTCTGCTGTAAACAAGATGGTTCAATTCTGCTCCCCTTGCTATAGGAAAGATGTTGCTAAACTTGAAAGGGTTCCGAAAAGATTTGTAAGGATATTGCTAGGGTTGGAGGGTTTGAGTTATAGGCAGAGGCTGAATATGCTGGGGCTGAGGGGTGACCTTAGAGGTTTATAAAATAGAGGGGCAGGGACAGGTACAGGCTGAATTGCCAAGATCTTTTCCCCACTGTGGGGGAGTCTGAAACTAAAGGGCATAGGTTTAAGGTGAGAGGGGAAAGATTTAAAAGGGACCTAAGGGGCAACTTTTTCACATAGAGCATACTGTGTATAGGGAATGAGCTGTCAGAGGAAGTGATCAAGGTAGCTACACTTACACCTATCAGATGCCTTTTAAAATGCTGTATGAACAGGAAGGGACTAGATTAATTTAGGATTTCTGGTCAGCATGGATGAGTTGGACCAAAGGGTGTGTTTCAATGCTGTATAACTCTAGGGCATGCATCAACCACTTTTAGAACAAGATGCAATAGTTTAGGATTGCAGTACTTTACTTGCATATGTCTTCTTATTGACAAATGGCTTGTGCCATTGTAACTAGAAGAAAACGGAACAAAAAAAGACTCAAAGCATATAAAATTAAATTCTAGCTGCTTAATAAACTTAAAATCTGCACGATCAATTAACTCAGCTACTCTTCCCCCACTTTCACCTGGGACACTACTACTATCATAGGACAAGCCAAACAGAGGCCAGCTCAGGACTTCTTGGAAGCTTGGATTTCATTCATGGACTTCATCAACGAACACACTGAATTAGACCCGATATACCAACTATTACAACACACAGCCGAAACTGGCACCTACTGGAAGCAGCAAAAACCAGACCATATAAATTTGAACCGGCACAAGACAACAGCACTTCACAGGGGCCTCTACAGCACTGAGGCTGTCACCTAGTAAGGGGATGAAACGTGTGCTATCAAACCTCCCAGCTTGGCAAACACGCCACTATCTACACCCACCTGAACTGCTTTCAGGAATTATTTTAATAGAAAATGCTAACTGAGATTATTCTAGAAGCACAGTTCAATTCGGGTACCTAAACATACAGCATAGGCAAGTTATCAGAGAAAATTTGATACCAAGCCACATAAGGATACATTAGAACAGATGACCAAAAATCTTTATTAAAGAGATAGATTTGAAGGAGCAGCTTAACTGAAAAAACTTGAATTTTTTGAGGGAGTGGAAATCCATATCAGACTCAACACAATGTGGGTAAAATCCCTAAAAAGGGCTTTTATCACAAAACTATGAAATGAGTGGGCAAGGGAAAAGTCTTATTCTTTTTCTTTTCTCCCCTTCCTCTTCTCCATGCTCCCCTGATATCAATCCCCTGTGCTGCCCTCTCTTTCTGCCATTACTGATGAGGCTTGCCTTTTACCAGGAAGGGCCTAAATCTGGACTTGCATACAAATTAGCAGAAATAAGCCATTTGGTTCTTCAAGCCTGTTCCCCCATTCAACGAGGTCATGACTGGTCTGTATGTGTTCTGAATTCCCCATTCCCATCTATCCCTGATAACCTTTGACTCCCTTGCTTAGCAAGAATCTTTCTCCACTGGGACTAGGACAACACATCCATAATAGCATGAGCCAAACAGAGACACGCCAGGGAATTCCTGGGGCCTGGCATCCCAACTGGAACTCCATCAACAAACACACTGAACTTGACCCGATATACAAACCACTGAAAAACAGAACCGGAAGTAATATCAACCACCCCAGCAAACCGAGGCAGATAAATAACAAGCGGGCCAGAACACCAACGCTTCACCGGAGGCGCACTGATGATGTTACCGAGTAGGGTGACGAAACATCTGTAACCAAACACACCGGCTTGGCGAGCAAGTCTACAACCTAATCAATCTCCACTTTAAGAATATTTGTAACCTTGCCTCCAGAGGCAGAGTATTCCAAAGTCATACAACCTTTGGAGGAAAGAAATTTCCTCTCACCTCATCCTGAAAGGGTGATCCCTAATTTTAAAACAGTGTCCCATAGTTCTAGACTCACCCAAAAGAATAAATATTCTTTCCACGTCCACCTTCTCAAGACTGTTCAGAATATTATAAATTACATCACCTTGTGCTCTTCTGAACTTGAGTGAAAATAAGTCCAGCCTGTCCATTCATTCCAGGTCCCAGTTTAGTAAATCTCTTCTGAATCACATCAAACACATTTACATCATTCCTTAAGTAAGGAGCCCAAAACTTCAATTAGTATTCAAGATATAGTCTCATCAATGCCCCATATAACTGGAGAGAAGGATTATTACATTTATGTTGAATTCTTCTTCTAATAAAGTCTAGCATCCTATTAGCCTTCCTGATTGATACGTAGGTACAACACAATCTTTTGCGACTGATGCACTAGAACACCTAGATCCTTCTGCACTTTGGAATTCATTAGTCATTCTCTGTTTAAGTAATATTGTACTTTGCTGTTTTATTCATAGTTGTTGCAAATGGGGTTTGGTAGGAAGAACATTGAAAGACAACATAGAATAGAGAGTACAATTCTAAAGGAGGTGCAGGAGCTGAGAGACTTGGACACATTTGTGGACAGGCCACTGAAGATGGTAGGACAGGTTCCAAGAGCAATTAATAAACCTTAAAGTATCCTCAGCTTTATTTATACAGGCACTGAGTACACGAGCAAAGAGGTGATATTGAACTTTATATTTGGTAGACCTTGGCTACGGTATTGTGTACAGTTGTGGGCGTTACATTTTAGGAAGGCATTGGAGAGAGTGCAGCAGCAATTTATAAGAATGGTTCCAGGGATGATAACTTTCACTTGAAGATAGATTGAAGAAATTTGGACCGTTCTCCTTGGAGACAAGGTGGCTAAGAGAAAGTCTGATAGAGGTTTTCAAAATTGAGTCTGGATTGAGTAGATAGGGAGAAACTATTCCTGCTTATACAAGGATCGAGAATCAGAGGGCACAGATTTAAAGTGATTTGCAAATACGTGGTAAGGAAAAGCTTTTTCACACAGTGAGTAGTTAGGTATAGAATGCACTACCAGGAAGTGCAATGGAGGCAGGTTCAATGAGGCATTCAACAGGGTATTGGATAATTATATGGATAGAAATAGTGTGCAAGGGTATGAGGAAAGAGCAGGAGATTGGCACTAGGTAATGATGCTCAACTTCACATTTCCCTACTTTATACTCCATCTGCCAGAGTTTTGCTCACTCATTTAAGGGTGCAGAGGATAGAGGTTATGTCATCCTCACAACAAAGTTTTGTACCTATCTTTGTGTCATCTGAAAATATAGTCATGATGCCTTTGACCCCCCTCATCTAACTTACTGGTATAAATCATAAAAAGTTGAGCAGCAGCACAAACACTTGTGAGATCCCATTTGTCACATGCTGCCAATCTGAAAAAGACCCATGTGTGCATTGTGTTTTCTGCCAGCCAGCCAATTTCTATCCATGCTAGTATATTACACACAGCACCCCTTCCTTCCTTAATACTATGAGCTCCTATTTTGAGGAATAAATTTTTATGTGGCACCTTGTCATATGTCTTCTGGAAACCCAAATACAGTACATATCAATAGGCTCCCCTTTATTCACAACACGTTACTCCTTCAAAGGATTCCAATAAGTTGGTGAGTAGGATTTCCCTTTCACAAAACCATGCTGACTTTATTCACCACACCTCTCCAATCCTTGATCTTTCTCTCTCCCCCTGTAATGACCCTCCTTAAAACCTACCTCTTTAGTCAATGCTTCTTAATATCTCCTTTAGTTCACTGTTTTTGTATGGCCTTCAATAGAGGCACATCCTAAGGCAGTACATTCCATTGTTGACATTCCAGAGAGGGAGCTGGAAGCTCTGTCACTTTCGGATGTGGGAAATATTATATTGGAAAATCTAATTCACCCAAGATATAACAGCCTCTCAGGCCTTAGGCCTATTGCATTGGTCATTAAACAGCACAACCAGTGCTGGTATTAAGAAACAAGTCAAAAGGAATACAAAATAGTTTTATTGACATACCAGGAGTTTTAATTTTTAAAACATTGAAATTAGCGAAAATCGAGCCCAATTTACACACAATTCTCATTAGCACTCCAAACACATATCCATTCACAGTACATCTTTGAATAAAAATACTTATGAAATGAAGGCATCCATCTTTACGTTAAAAAAACTAAAAGTAAACTTTTTTCCAAATGTCTTATGCAATGTGCAATTTCAAAGAAACAATCAATCATTCAGTAGTAGTGGAACATACAGACAGGTTATCAGTGCAATGTAGGTGCTATTCATTCAAATGCCTGCTTAGGCATGCAGGAGTAACGTTAGTTCATGTCCACTATTTGGGAAATCTAAACTCGAAATTCACAAAACTATTCAAGTTGTTCATTTGTGTTAATAAATGGCACAGTTTCAGGTACTAACTTGCTTCTCTTATTTGGAAAGGACAGAGGTAGGAAGGTTCTTTTCATCTTCACTCGCAATTGGATAGACGTTTTGCAGGGCAATCCGTTCAGCCACTGGCTGGATGCTTAAGATGAAAATCACCTATATCATCTTTTGTCCAAATTTTGAAAGAAATATTTCAAGCTCCACTCATCAGTACTTGAGGTACTCTAAACACACGTCACAGCATTACAGTATAAAGATTGAGGTAAAATTAGGAGAAGTAAACCTAATTTGAGTTGGGAAAACAGCAACAATTATCCAGGATTCTACAGTATAACAGAGTCAGAATTCTGAATTTAAGAAAAAAATGACCCTGTACACCATACAAGCTCTGGTGAACTCCTTCTATTGGATTCTTGGCATCAGTGCTTCTACTTTAGTGTCATGAAGCAACCATATATTTTGAATAGCAAAACTCACTCTTCAGATGACAGTGTGCCAGTGTGGTGAAACTACATCACAGAGCAGTGTGAAAGAGAAACTGGAACTAATGGTACTTAAAAAAACAAGATAAAATCAAAACAATATGGGTGTTTTGTGGGCAGCAATACTTCAAGTATGACAGGATAGAGGATATCACTAATTTGGATTCACTCGTGTTGCTGATTAGTGGTAGAGGAATTAACACGGGCATCAGAGTGTAGATAATTAAGTAAACATCACCTCTGTCCTTTGAGTTGAGATAAATATTCAGATCAGTGTCTCATAACAATTCGTCAGTAAACTGTGCCAGCAGTTTTGTCAAAGGCATGACATTCTGTTTGATTATACAGATAGCTACAAGCTTAAAAAGCATTAAGCAAATGCAAAACTCTCCAAAAAAATGCATTAACACCAATTTATATGGCTATTAATGAAATATCAGAGTGCCATGAATGCGTTTAAAAAGGAAATCTAGCCCCGCTTGACATCAAGTTCTTCAATGTGTTTGGCTAGCAGAGTTCTGACAAAAAGGCATTCATCTGAAACGTTAACTCTATTTCTCATTCTAACGCTTTTGAGTGTTTTCAGAATTTGGTTTTATTTCAGATTTCCAGCATCTACAATATTTTGCATTAGTCTTGGTGTTATTGACCTGAATATTTTTAGCATTGAGAGTGAATCATAGGCCTGAGTCCTGAGTTCCATCTGCTATGTAAAAAGTGAATTTTCCATTTCCCCTCTTTATTTCAACTGCAAAACAATAGCTGCATTGTGAAAAGTGAAATGGGGGAAATTTGATAAAGTATTCAGTGAATTTTTGTTTAAAAAGATGCTGTTTATATCGTCCAAGCTTCATACCACTCAAAGCATTTGAATAATGAGCCAGACAGTGACATGCCTTTACCGTAAAGCTAAGGGAGGAGCAGTGCATCTTTGACAGCAACATTGATTGATTGCTACATTTGATCACACATTTGGCCTTGTCTGAAGTTGCTAAGGCATTTGCACACAAGTTATAACAAATTATATTAACCTCTTATTTTAACAACAATTTTAAGTGTCCCTTTGCTATTACTGGTCAAATCTTCCAATAACCAAACATTTGCATGTGACTTGACTGCAAACATATCAAAAATGATCTCCCACTGCAGTAAGCTAAAAGTATTGGTCCAAAAACATTTCTTTTAAATTAATTCATGTATGTGCTTTTAAGTAAACAAAATACACATTTTTCTTTCTCACTCAGATAAATGCATTGAATTTCATTAGGGGAAATCTGCCTCCAAACACAATCATTACACCATATGACAAGCTTTTGAATTCTGGAGTCTCATTCTTTCAGTAATGTAGGAATAACATGTTGTCAACACAACATAGATGTCTTAGGTAAACATAAATGCAAAACTGGAACTGCCCGTCTAAGGCTTACTTGCTTTTTCTGGAATTGTGGTAATTTGTGGAAAGTAACACCATGCTATGTAACAGCAGCGAGGCTTCAGAATCTGAAATCAGAAAATATTTCACTTTTTTCAAAAAAATTTCCAACTGGTAGAGGCTTTAGTTTATTTTCCACTAATACAAAAAAACTAACCACAAAAATTTCTGACTCCTATTCTGACCACAGCTCTTACAGTTTTTTTTTCAGAAACCCGTGACTCTCCAAACTGCACACAGGGCTAAGTAGAATTTTCACCAATATCACAAGTGGGAACAATCTTCACAATGCCATTAAACAGTGAATCTGACCTCTTCTCTCTCCCTTCTCTTTAAAAAAAAGACTAACCTCAAAGAAATGGAGAAACAGATTAAAAATTGGGGAAGTTTAAAACACTTCAATACAGTAGAAATGGAACATCTATAGACACGATACCATCCAAGCAATACAAGCATATACCGAACAAACTAGACCCTGATTGCAAAAAATGCAATGAGGATAAATTACCCCTATTAATACTAGAGTAAGAAAGAGAAATGAATATTAGAAGGTGGTCATTTTGAAAGTTCAGCCCACTGTAGATTGAAAAATATTCTAGATTGACATTCCAGTACAGTAGTGAGGGAGTACTGTACTATCATATTATGAGACATTAAACTAAGGCCGTATCTTCTGTTTCCATGGCACTACTTGAAGAGACGTAGGAAGTTTTCCTGGTGTCAAGATTTATTCCTCAATAAGGCAGCACAGTGGCTAGCACTGCTGCTTCTCAGCCCCAAGGACCTGGGTTCAATTCCAGTCTAGGGCGATTGTCTGTGTGGAGTTTGCACATTCTCTCTGTATCTGCTGGGTTTCCATTGGATGCTCCACTTTCCTCCCACAGTCCAAAGTTGTGCAGGTTAGGTGGAATGGCCACACTAAATTGCCCCATAGTGTCCAGGGATGTGCAGCATATATGGATAAGCCATGGTAAATGCAGGGTCATGGGGATAGGGTAGAGGACTGGATCTGTGTGGTCCAAATGGCCTTTTTTCACACTGTAGGGATTAGAGTCAACCACATCAAAACAGACCATTTGTTCATTCATATCACTGGCATTTGTGGGAGCAAACGTTAGATTTTGCATTTAGCCTAAGACAGTTTCACTCTCATTAAGTGTGTCTACCTCAGGCATTTCTGTCCACTCTCATGGATTAGCTGGGCATGCAGCCTCCTCCCTACTTCTGGAGTGGAGAGTAGACAGAGGAAATCCCTTCCTCAATTTCTTTTCCTGTGGGGAAAGGCTTGGTCTTCACTTGCTATTCCTAAATTACCACATCCAAGAACGGATAGCGTAGTTGCCCAAAACATCTGTTCACCATGGTGTCTCAGTTAATTACATATGGAATCATGCAAACTGTTGTTAGTTCAGAGAATTCTCTACTGGAAACAGTTGTGAAAATAGAATGGCTGAATAAATGGGAGGCAAAAATTTCCAAAGGGTATGAGAAACCAATTTAGTGATAATGCTTTCAAAGAACTGGAATAGGTATGATGGGCCAAATTCCATCCTCCTGCATTATAAAAGTCTATGATTTTATAGTAATCTAAAAGACAGCCATTATATTATCAGCAATAAGAGGCTGAGAAGCACACTTGCTCCATAAACTTTTACCTTTTAACTTCTTAGAAAGCTGGACCCATTTGGTTAACCATTCTTTACACTCTGCTGCGTTCAGTTGCACTGAGTTCAAGCCTCTTACATAACATGCCTTGAAATCAGAACCACAAAACAATGATCAGACTAACCATGCTCACAGAGACAAATGGGGAAGCAAATAATATAAAGTATAATGAAACATTTTTCTCCAATTTTCATATATACCTGTGTAAAAGTCAAATCTCAGAGACCAATGTTTTGGGCAAAAGTTTAAGAAGTCAACTTTTTAGAAAGCAGTATTTGCAGGGTTTGCATGCATACTTGATTTGGGCTGCCACAGCATCCTGTACATGGATCAGCTAACTGCTTGTGGACTGTTGCTATTATACGGATGAGTGTACCCTAATGAGGGATGGTCTGCTGCAATTGGACAGGTTCACCTTCAGTTGTGGTTGTGCCTCCACAGGGAACGATTGGGTGATGTTAGCAAAGCATCAATTTAAGCAGCTCTTGGCGGACAAGCAGATTCACTACCCATTGACATTACTGAGTGTGTGAAGGGTGGGAGTGGGTGGACAGCCGATGGCTATTAATCCCTGAAAACCTAAGGTTGACTTTTAAAAGAGGTATATGAAAATAACATGTCAAGCCAAAAGTTATGGGTTGATTTTTGACATGGATATATAGGGTAAATATAGGACAAGATTTCCTTATCCCAGTTTATCTCAATGCTTTGTAACAATGACATTTCATTGAACAAGAAGAGATTCATCAGAAGTTAACACTCTTGAAAATATAGAAAAAACAGCACTATATTCTGCTCTTGCCACCAACAGACTCAAGCCAAGCCCAGCACTGGTTTCCAAATCTAAACTGCAAATAGCTGAATCTGTTCAAGACGGGCATTCACCAAGTTCAGACAGGCTAGACTCAAACATGAGTTCCACACAGAGCATCTTATGATAATGGTCTGTTTATTCAGCAGAGTAACAATTAAGTCCATAATGTTAGTAATGTAGCATTAGCATGGCGGAGTAATGAAAGAAAATCCTAGCTAATAAACGACTCTTTTAATGACACTATCCACGTTTACATTCACTCTGCATTGTGCCACCTCAGCATAAATTTGAAAAGGACATGGTGGGGTATTATGTACAAAATCCATTCACTAGGTCACTATGAAACAAGAAGGTTCAAGATGCAAAAAAAATATTTATCCCATTCAGGCCCATCCAACCCCACCCAAAGCCCATGCTATTTTCCAAGTGACAAGACAATACATTTTGCTTATAATTCAAGGTACTTCTCATGGTCCTACAAAAACCAATGTACACTGTTACTGCACTGGAACCTGCATGCCATCCTTAACATTGTTAGTGGCCAGGATTGTGTGATTTTGCAAGCTGTATTGGGATGTTTGATGTCTCACAACATGCTGGCCTGACATTAAGGAGGCCAATGCCTCAGAATAATGGCCACCATGTCACTGTGTATATGGATGATTGGTTAACGCACTTCATTGGCAGGTCAACCAGGTCAAAATCAATTTCCTGTTTCTATATTCCTCCAACCTCACAACTTAAGAAATCTGTGCTCCTCCAATTCTTTCACCCCATCATTGGTGACTGTGCCTTCAGCCACCTAGGGCCTAAATAGTTGAATTCCTTCCTGAAAACCACTCTTCCTTGCCTCCTCGAAGACCTCTTTAAAATACACCTTCTCCAAACAAATGTTCCTTCTTTGCCTTGGCCTATATTTTCATTGGATTAAACGTCTGTTAAAGGCATTATATGAATGCAAGTTGTTGTTGATATGTCAGCTACACACCATCAATTCTTTTTTACTCACAATCCTCAGTTCATCCTCTGACAGGTTTTGAACACCCAAGATATTGAGAGCTTGGTCCAAATGATGAATCTCCATTATATGGCTCCGGAGGCGACGGCGCATGATGAAGGTAGGCAAGTGTGGAGTGAGGAACATCACCTGGCTCAAGATTTTCTAAAAGCATAACAGCAGTTGAAACAGGGGAAACAAGTAAATGAGTGTAACATTTCCTCTATTCCTTTCATTTCAAATGGGACTCAAATGTAGTTTAAAGAAAAATAGCCAAGAAATTTCACTTTGCAAAAATGCCCAACAAATTACTGTGATTTCTTTGTTCACTATCTCAACAAAACATTGAAAACACAATGTGGTGGAGTTCCAATGATCTCTGTCATTAATTAAACCTGCTTACTCATTGACAGAAATAGACTTCTTACAAGGTTTCAGCCACTTGCTCACCATCTGGCGTGCATTAACGTATCGTATTTCTAACGGACGGCCCGAGAACAGCTTTGCCACCAAATACAGCTGGGAGATTTCTGGGTGGATACCTTCCTGAACCTTCAATTAAATACAGAACAATGTGAAATAACACAAATGCACTGACAGCCTAAATAAAATCAGCTTCCTACATCAGACTCTAGGTAAACAATGTATTCAGTGTCAAAAGCTAGGTGGATTGCCTCAGAATAGTCATCACATAGGTCAAAAAAAAATTAACATTTTAGGAGAATAAATGATTTAAAAAGGAGCAACATACCAACAGTGCCCAATAAGCCAGTATATCAAATTTAGCTGATGATTAAAAAAAAACTTTTTTTATTTTGCAGGACGGAGGATTATTTTCTTCTGAATAAGATAAAGGATGCCATTACTGAAAGACAGAACGATTGCCCCTGTGCTCAAGGATCAGGTATAACTTGGGTTCACTGTAGGATAAAGCTTTTGTTGTATTTCTCCTCTAAATCCTAAACTGAAAACAGCAATCACATTTGACATTTCTATTTCCCCACACCAACTACCTGTGATCTTTGTTGATCATTGAGACAGTTTTCAAATTTACACTTAGATGTCTTGTATGTCACATGTGTCCACTGTGTCCTTTGTGTTGTGACTATCCCTAGTCTTTCAAGGTTACGTGCCGTTTCTTATCGGTTATATTTTGGTGCTCATCGATCTACTTTTGTTATGTGTTAAGTATTACTGAAAATCATTCTCCCTTGAAATAACTCCACAGAGGCCGGTATCCCATCACCCTTAATTTACATGTGCATAGTACTTGATATTGGTTCGACTTCCTCAGAACCAGGTCTCAGAGTGAGCAGAACCTCTGACACTCCTGTTTATATCTGTCAGCCAGCACACTCTGATTGAGCCAGATTAACAGCCCCAGTCAGGGAACTCATATTCTATGAGGACCACCTGGCCGACCTCATTACAATTACTATATCCCCAACGTATAAAATAACCCTCAACCTGTCATCACAGAAATCCTTGACACACTCATGTATCTATTCTCTTTCCCTCTTTTACTTTATGTCTCATAGTTCTATCCATTAATTAAGATGTTAGATAGGTGATCTGTCTCTTGGCTTCTACCTAGTGCACTAATCAGTTGTTAGAGGAGTTTTGTAAAAGCCTGGGGTTATTTGTTCACTTTTTCTTCCTCTCACCTTGACGGTATAAAGCATCAGCTTGATACTTTCCTAATAACATGGCCAAAATTGGAAATACAACATGCAGATAATCAGTCACAAACCTACACCTTGCTACTCCATGGTATAGCTTGTTGCTACATCAATGTGGCACAACATTTAGTGCACTTTTCAAAGTAATAAGCTTAGGAATTATTCATTCCCTAATGTAACATATTTGTGAACCTACTTTCGTGCCAAGTTGTAATAGTTGGTTTTTCAGTCTTTTGTCTGGAACTTTTGACACTGCTTTGATCAAATTCTTCACAGCATTTGGGTAAACCTGAGCCCGCAAGGAGTGGTAGATTTCCATGAACTCCTTCTGCTGTTCAAGGGTCCAGAAGTGTCTTATTAACAACTGCCGTGGAAAGAAATACCTAGAAACAATAAAATTTTACATACAGATCTCAGAAATCTATGAGTTCAACAGTTCAATGTTAACAGATACCTCACAAATTCTGACACTGTTGTATCTTTACCACCCTAAAGATTCACATAAAACTTCATTACCACTGCTTATAAAAACATTCACTGGAATCAATCCACGTGGTATATCATTCTGTTGCAATAATATAAACATGAAGGCAAATGATGTGTTAATAAGTGAAGAAGGTTACTTCAGAGTACAATGGGACTTTGATCAGATAGGCAAATGGGCCAAAGAGTTTAATTTAGGTAAACGTGAGGTGTTGAATTCAGTAAGTCAATTCAGGGCAGGACTCATACACTTAGTGGTAAGGTCCTGGGGAGTGTTGCTGAACAGAGACCTTGGGGTGCAGGTTCATAGTTCCTTGAAGGTGGAGTCACAGGTAGACAGGATGGTGGAGAAGGCACACTTGCCTTTATTGGTCAGTGCATTGAGTATAGGAGTTGGGATGTCATGTTGCGGCTGTGCAGGACATTAGTTAGGCCACTTTTGGAATACTGCTTTCAATTCTGGTCTCCCTGCTACAGGAAAGATGTTGTGAAACTTGAAAGGGTTCAGAAAAGATTTACAAGGCTGTTGCTGGGATTGGAGGGTTTGCCCTATAGGGAGAGGCTGAACAGGCTGGGGCTATTTTCCCCTCAGCATTGGAGGCTAAGGGTGGCCTTATAGAGTTTTATAAAATCATGAGGGGCATGGATAGGGAGAACAGCCAAGGTCTTTATCTCAGGGTAAGGGAGTCCAAAACTAGAGGGATAGGTTGAAGGTGACAAGGGAAAGATATGAAAGGGACCTAAGGGGCAACTTTTTCATGCAGAGGGTCGTGCGTGTATGGAATGAGCTATCAGAGAAACTGGAGGAGGCTTGTACAATTACAACATTTAAATGTCATCTGGATGGGTACATGAACAGGAAGGGTTGAGGGGGATATGGGCCAAATGGGATTAGATTAATTTAGAATATCTGGTTGGCATGGACAAGTTAGACTGAAGAGTCTGTTTCCATGCCGTACATCTTTGACTCTAAGGTTAAGAAAAACTCATAAGATACTACATTCTGCATGCCTTAGAAATCTGGACAACAATCTGTGGAAGAAAATAGAAACTTTTGAAAAATACCTGCCAAATTGTATACTTAAAATTCCTCAAAGATCATAAGACAAAAGCCAAGGCGCTTGACATGGCAAGAGAAAAAAGAAACATGACATCTAGAAAATAAAATGTCAGTATTTTGACCATTTGATCAGAGCTGAAAAGCTACAAAGAGCTCTTCAAAGGGCAATGCGGAGGGCAGAAAGAGAGGTAGACTTCAGCATAGTTGGATGACTGACTTTTCAAAGTGGTTGCAGAAGAGCTGCCATGGATGTGTGAGGATGGCACATGACAGATGAGAGTGGTATATCCTGGCAGGAGCAGCTACAAGTAGGACAGGACACAATAAATACTTTAGTATTTGTTTTTACTTGTTCTTGGGCTGAGAGTATCACATTCATTGCTCAGCCCAATGGACCTTGAGCAAACTGCATACAAGCAAAATGGGCTAAATAATTTACTTCTGTGCTTGTAAAGTGCTTTGGAATCTAAAATGGTGATATTTTCCTTACAGAACTCACAGCAACTCCACTTTCAACAGCCAGCTTCAATGTAACTTAAGCCATTAAAGGTGAGGGAAATGAAGGTAGTAATCTGAATTAAAAACAGAAAATGCTGGAAGTACACAACAGGTCTGGCAATGTCTATTGGAGGGAGAAACAATTAACATATCATGGTGCTGTCTTTTCATCAGAACTGGAGGATTAGAAATAAAAATATAATTAGGCACAGAGCAAGGGAAAAGGAGTAGAGAAAATACAATGGGGCAACTAAATGACAAAAGTGATGACTGTACAAGGCAAAAGAAATTGATAATTAGACAAACATATAAACAAAGGATAGGTTCAAAGGAGATGTAAATGCAACAGTTCATACAAAATGTCACTTCCCATGGCAATGGGAATGTGGCAAATGAAAGGTAGATGGGTAGATGGGCCCCGAGAGGTATGGACCACTGTGCTAGAAGATTCCCACCCCAAGTACACAAGCTCATGCCTCCTCTGTTATCAATGGCTCTGATGCAAACATCCTGCATTACCAGCACAACTCTGTCTGAAAAGTAAGTGGGAGCAGTCGTTTAGAAACTTAAGGCCAGTTCTGCCCATAGTAATTAAGAATAATACTGCTGGTAGCAGGGTGCTCTACAGAATTAAACTTACTATACTATTCCAAACCATACATACAGACTCCCCATTCTGCCTGAGAGAAAGTGCCAATGTGAGGCTAGATACTTCCTCACAGGGAAGGAAGAGCATTCATTGCAGGACACTTTTTCACACAACTCAGTTTCTGTACTGAAGGTTAGATAATTTATCCTACACTGATTTTGTTTCTTCTTTCCTGGAATGTGACATGACCAGCATTTGTTGCTCATCCCTAATTGCTCTTGAATGGAGTTGTTTGCTAGGCCATTTCAAGGGCAGGTAAGAGTTAAACAAATTGTGGTACAGTCATCAAGTTGCCACTGCAGTGCAAATGTGTATGTTGTCACATGTAGGCCATACTAGGCCGATTTCTTTCATTAAAAGGGCATTAGTAACCAAAATGGATCTTACAACAAATCAATGATAACTTCATGGTCACTATTACAGAAACAAGCTTTATAATTCTAGATTTCTGAATTGAATTTAAATTCCACCATCTGCCATGGTTGGAACTGAACCCAGGCCCCCAGAATGTTTAGCCTATGTCTCTGTGTTACCAGTCAAGTGACATTGCTACTAAACTACCATGTCTCCATGTGTGGAAATAATGTGATTTTCTTTGATTCCTCAGATTGTTACCAATTGCCAAGGTGCATGCACTGAATGGAGAGACAATATTATTGAAATGGTACAAAAGTTCAAAGCTTTAGTCCCAAAACATCTATGAATAAGGCTGGACTGACATGATCCATTATTATATAACTCCAGAACACAACTGAAAAATATTTAAATACTCACATCAATACAAACACCATATAGTTTGCAAATGGTGGAAGTGATAGCAGCACTACAGGTATCACCTTTATAATATCTCTGCGAAACTGGAAGAGAAATTATTGCAAAAAACTTATGTTGCTAGGTAGTTAACATTATTAGCTTGGCATTGCAAAACAAAAAAGATACGTTTTGTCAAAGCTTTTTATCTTGTACTTAACAGGTCGGTTCACATGAATACTAGTAAAGGAGGAAAAATATATTTATACTGTATTACAGGAGAGTGCTGATTGGTTGGCAACTGAACTCTGATTGGTAGAGGCAGGCTATGAAGAATGCAGCATTTAATGACAATTGAATGTTAAGTGCTATTAGGCTTTGCTTAGATTTCAAACCAGGCAGGTTGACTCAGATTGGTGAGGGCATTGCCCTGAGAAATAAACCAGCAAATGGCTGCCACTTATTTTGTCTTGTTGAAACAGGTACAGTGTATGCACATGTTCTTTTTGTCTGCAAAGAACAAGGTCCTTAGCACTAATATACATACTCCAACGTATGTAAGTTCGCTACACTGAGAGTCCAAATTACAATCCTAAATTGGTTGTCAGTGTAAATCTTTGAACACTCTCAATTATCCAGGAAAACGTTATCCAATTGCAGAATCACATCTAACGTTGGACACTGTGTTGTGAGTAGCGCAAACATGGGTTGGTTGGGTACGGTCAGTACTTTGCTTATTGCAAGCAGCCAAAGGGATATGCTATTTGATATGATCCACCAGTCTTTGGGATGTATGGCCTACATCACACTGACACCGAAATTCATATTCACATAATCAGCACTCTCCTGTAATACATTACAAATGTTACCTATCTGCTTAATTGATATTTTTGTGAATTGCGAAGCTTTGGAGATATCAGTATATGTCAATTGTCTCACCTAGGCTCCAGAGTGTTTGACTCAGACAAACAAGGTTTAAAGCAATGACAAATGGACAAAGTGTTTTGAACAAGTATGACTCTGTGGATGAAAATGGCATCTTAATACCTCAGTATCTGGAATGGGAACAACAAAGGAATGAACCATTCTGCAGCACAGTGACCTTCACTTAGGATGTGAAAAAAAGACTCCTACCTGCCTTAATTTTTCCATCTCTCTGTAGTGCAGCTGGCTGTACTTTAGCCCCTGATCAGCCATCTTACGTTTTATTCCACTGACTTCCTTAAAGTCAAGAAACAATAAACGGAAACCTACAATATACACAGAATGAAAAGTTATCAATTGTGAAAATGCAACTACTGTTTCATACAAATGATAGAAGAAGAGGGAGATGATGATGACTTTTTTTTATATAAAACACAGCGAGTTATGATGATCTGGAACGTAACTACCTGAAAGTGCAGTGAAAGCAGATTTGATGGTAACATTCCAACAAAAATTGGATAAATACTTGAAAGGAAGAAAAACACAGGACTGTGGAGTAAGTACAGGGGTGTAGGTTTCATTGCATAACTTTTCAATGTGCTGGCAGAGGTGCAGGGGGCTCAGTGATCTCCTTCTGTACCATATGATTCCATGAAAGAAATATTTGCATTCATATGTCACCCTTCACAGTGTCCCAAAATATTGTACAGCTAATTAAGTATTTTTTTGATGTGTATTCACTGTTGCAATGCACGGAAACGCAGCAGCCAATTTGCGCACAGAAAGCTTCAACAAGCATCAATGAAACAATCTTCGAATCATCTATTTTAGTGATGCTTTTCTTCCAAATGGAGCCACATGGGATTTTGGAAAACAATTTTAGAGAAACAATACAAAGAAATATATGCAAATACTTTCCACCATTTACTGAGGCAAATCTGTTAACGTACAGATAATCAAAGACTGTAATGAAAGGAACAGCAACAGACGTGTCTAAAAATGAGGTGTCAACCTGGCGAAGCTAATAATATGGGACTACTTGCATGCCAAACATAAGCAACATGCACTAGACAGAGCTAAGCATTCCACAAATAATAGATTGGCTCTAACCTCTGCAGTCCTGTCACATCCAGAAATGAGTGGAAGTGGACAATTAAACAAATTGGAGGAGTATGGTCCCAATACTCAATGATGGGGGAACCTAGCACATCATTGCAAAAGACTAGGCTAAAGCATTTGAAGCTAACTTCAGCCGGAGGTGTTGAGTGAATGATTCATCTTGGCCTCAGCATCACAGATGCAAGACTTTAACTAATTTGATTCATTCCACTTGATATCAAGAAATAGCTGAAGGAACAGAATACTACTGCAAAGTCTATGGCCCTGATAACATCCCAGCAGCAATACTGAAAACGTGTATTCCAGAACTAGTCAAGCATTTAGCCAGCCATATAAATACTGTGGCTACAGGAAGTCAGAGGCTGGGAATTCTGAGGAAAATAATTCGCCTCCTGACTCTCCAAAGCCTATCTACCATCGACAAGGCACTGTCAGGAGTGTGATGAAATACTCTTCACCTGCTTGGAGGAGTGTGGCTCCAATATCACTCAAGAAGCTTGACACCATCCAGGACAAAGCAGCCTGCTTGATTTACACTCTATTATATCACTTCATTCACTCTGTCTACCTCATAGAGGCAGCGCTGTGCACGAAGGCTCCTTAGACATCACCTTCCAAACCTGCAAACTCTGCCACTGAGGACAAGGACAACAGATGCGTGGGAATACTACCACTTGCACATTCCCCTCCAAGCCACACACCATCCTGACCTGGAAACATATCGCTATTTCTTTATTGTTGTTGAGTCAAAATACTGGAAATTAATTCTTAACAGCATTGTGGTTGCAGCTACACCACATGGACTGCAGAGGTTCAAGATGGTAGCTCACTACCACTGCTGTCACAAGAGCATTTAGGAATGGGCAACAAATGCAGCCACATCTCAAGTAAGAATAAACAAGCAAAACAAGCAAATTTTGAAAGAGGAAGACCAAGAAAATAGAAGTGGAAAATATTTATTAAATAATATTTGCGCCCTTGTTTGTGTGCAAGTATCATTGAATCATAGAATCCCTACAGTGTGGAACTAGGCCATTTGACCCATCGAATCCTCACCAACCCTCCAGAGAGCATCCCACCCAGACCCACCCCCTTATCCAATCCCTGTAACCCTATATTTTCCATGGCCAATCCACCTAACCTGCACATCTTTAGACTGTGGGAGGAAACCAGAGCACCTGGAGGAAACTCATGCAGACACGGGGAGAATGTGCAGTCTCCACGTAGACAGTCATCCAACTGTGGAATTGAACCCAGGTCCCTGACGCTGTGAGGCAGCAATGCTAACCACTGAGCGACCATACCACCCTAAGTACATTGGATAAATTAGATTCCTTTGTCAAATGCAAATAACCTGAAAAAAGGACTAGCAAAAATGCTTTAGATTCATGCCAATTATACCATTGAAAAACAAGATGCTCCAAAATTCTCCTAAACTAATAGCCTAAGGTCAAAAGTCCCGTTTACTCTAATCTTAGCAAAAATGCAGAGTTTAAAAACTTGTACTTAGTCATTTATTAAATACTTGATATGTACAAATATAATTAATGGGTTTGATTTCACACTATTAATTTCAACTTTTGTTTACAGTCAAGAAACACCATATATTGTTTTGAATTTTCTACCTAGAACATTGGACTATGCACTGCATTTGTGTAAAAAAGAAATTTCAGAGTAACACTATAGAAAAATCATGGACACATGTGTTCATAATATTCCATCTCACAGCACCATGCTACCCTCAGGCTGGCACATAGATCCATGATTAATCCACACTGGCTCCATTAGAAAAGATCACAGAATTTTAAATTCTCATTTCATCCACAAATCTCTCTACACCCTCAGCCCATCCTTCCTAGAAATTGAAACATTCTATACAGTTGTTTATTATAAGCCAGACTTTCATGTTAATTAATGTGTCCTGTTCAGTTATTAACTCCTCTTTAATTGATGGCATCTCAACCGCAATCCCAAAGTCAATCTCAAATCCTTTCTGCAACTTTAAGATGTCACAATACACCTCCCTTTTCAAACAATCTTTTGATTACTTCTATCTCCTACAATGGCTTAACATCTAGTCCTTCCTAGAAATGTCATAGGGTATTTTTCTAAGTTAAGGTGCAGTGTGAATACAAGCAAATTGTTGAACATGGTCACTGAGTAGCAATTTGAAGGAGTACTGTGGCTGCTTGTTTGACCTCCTTCTTCCCTGAAGTAAAACATAGACACCTCAACTGCAGCCCTGTCCAAGATGGACTGATTCAACAGACCGCAAATCAAATCTTTTGGTTTAGTATGACACTGGGAAATGCTTTTACTCAAAATGAAACAGGAGAGACTGTACAGACATTCTGTTAATGTAGGGAATTTTTTCAAATTGAACGGTCAACAACTACACTGTAGAAATGGATGGAGAATACAGTTTGACTTTTTGCTATACAGGTAATGAATCGGTATATAATGAATTATTTTTCTCTCTTATTTCTCTTTTTCACCACACCCCCATAGCTTTTGTCACCTATGCTGCTGAAGGATAATCAATACCTTCTGACCATTAACTCACCTCTGAAAAAGGTTGAGTAGATCACATAAAAACGTGGAAAGTTTCTTTCCAGAAATTGTTCATATTTTGCATTCAAACGTTTGGCCTTTGAGATGATGGTACTCCTCTTCGCTGTTGTAAAAAATTGTGACAACGGGTGACCAGTAAGCCTGGGGTGGGGGTAGAGAGCAGAGCAGGTGGGAGGGTAAAATAAGAATGTCATCAATTAATTTCTAGGTGAGCTGTTATTTTCTAGCTATACAAGAAGATAAAGGAGAAAGGATGAATACATTACTAGTGAACCAGACTCTTTAACACATAAGCATTTTTCAACAAGTGACAATGAACAGTAATCAAGAATTGGAACTTGGATCAATTTTTCTCTCATTAGTCTGAGAGCACTGAGACCAACTACAGTATTCCTGCTATTTGTCTGGCTGAAATCAGCTGATTCAACACAGACTAGGGAATAAATCAGAGACCTTCTCCCATGATTCAGGTGCACACTTTACCAACCAAGTCACTTGGAAGCTTCATTACACTGTTAACATTGTCAACCCATCGCAATTTTAAAACTGCAATTAGCGGACAAATGTTTAGTTACACACAGCAGCAAAATATTTACTTTGCGCTTAGAATGATTTGTAAATGCTGCAGGGCATTGCGAACTATACATTGCAACAGGATTTCTGGTATATTTGCGCTTGGGTTTTGTACCTACTGCAGGGTATTGCACACTATACATTTCAACCAGGTTTCTGGTGACCTCATACTGGTCTATCACAAAGACATGGCCTTTGAATTTTTTTTAAAATCATTCATGGGATGAGGGGGTTGCTGGCTGGTTTGCCCATTCCTAATTACCTAGAGGGCAGTTAAGAGTCAACCACATTGCTGTGGGTCTGGAATCACATGCAGGCCAGACCAGGTAAAAGTGGCAGATTTTGTTCCCTAAAGGGCATTAGTGAACGAGATCGATTTTAACAACAATCAGCAGCGGTCATAAGATGACCTTTTGACTAGACTTTTATTCCAGACTTGTTACTGAATTTAAATATCAGAACTAGTTCAGTGACATTCCTACTCTGCCAGCGCCTCCGCAACAACTAAAAACAGACCACAGAAATTCAGCTACTATGGATTTTTGAGTAAAGCTATCAATGTCAGAACATCATTAATGTGCCCCCATAGGTACATGCACACGCTTTTACAATCTCAAAGGCAAAACACTGCAAGTGCTGGAATTTTGAAGTATAAACAGAAAATGCAGGAAATATTCAAATCAGTCAGCATCTCTCGAAGGAGAGATTGAGTCAATGTACTGCCACTAACCCAAGTGTTAACTGTTTTGCCTTCCACAGATCTGCCTGACCTGCGGAGTAGTCCCAACATTTTCTTTTACTCAGATTTCCCAGGTTTTGGGGGCAGGCTGGAAGGTGAAAAACTGTGGGACTAATTGCATGATTTTAGTTGAAAAGGAAAGCTTAAATATAATTAGCTCAATGGCATCCTTCCATACAGTAAGATTGTATGATTTTACGTGTTGAGATCACCTCACAAACAAATTAACTGAAGAACAGGTGCAATCATGATTGTTTAAAAATGAATTAATATGAGTGTCACTGGCTAGGTCAGCATTTGTTGTCCATCCCTCATTGCCCAGGAGGTGGTTAAGAATCAGCCACATTACTGTGGGTTTGGAGTCAAAATAGGGGTTTTCCAACCATCGACAACAGTTTCATGATCATCATCATCAGAGTCTTAATTGCAGATTTGTTATTATACACAAAACTGCTAACAATTCCAAATCACTCAATAAATATTGTAAGTAAATTTAGATCTGATCGCCTGACAGGTTCTTAAAGAGACAGATAAAAATCCTGACATTTGCTTACATAAAAAAATAACTTAGTTTCTCGTAAAATATGATAAATAAAGATATACAAATTAGTGAAGGCTTATTATCTTTAACTATGCGGATAAATCAGCGTCTACAGCTTTATTTTAAAATGCTTCTTACAAAACTCCCCAAATTATAATAAATTCTTTACGTATTGACTATCCTTCGTGCTTGTATCTGTCTTTCGGTTGTGGAACTGGGCCATCTAGAAAGAAAAAAAAAGCCATGCAGACACGGAAAGAGTGACTAATACGTTGTTCGAAAGACCTCGAATGAACGCACTCTTACTGGGATACATAGACCGTCGGATAGTGTAAAAACTCCGGAAAACAACAGCCTCTCAGTCCGCGAAACCTAAAACAGCCTCTGGTCAGCGCCATCTTAGAAAATAGGAAGCTAGGCAGGTCAAAGGTTATCGAATCTCGCGATGTTATCCACTCCCGGCAAATACATCAAGGTCTTATTTTAAAAAGTTTGATAAGAAAGAAACAACAAAGGTGTACCTTTTAATCATCCCCATTTGCCTTGTTTCCATTTATATTATTTGTGTGGTCGAGGCTTGGTCGGCTTGCAGCAGGAGGATGTCAAGGAGACAGCATAGAAGCAGGACCATGGTCCTCTTGGGATGGAGAGGCTGCAGTGATCAGCGACCAGGAAAACTGGAGCTCTTTCCATGAGAAGAAACGCGACTAAAAAGAGATCTGATGTAGCTATTCACAACTCTGAGAGATTTTGATAAAGCAAATTGCGGCCCCTTTTCAGGGACTCCATTGTGTGCGTGTTAATAAGGTTGGCATGTCGACAAAGCCTGCTGCCACTCAAACACAAAGCCCTGGCACTTGGGTGAGATTCAGGCCTGCTGGTGCCGGTTAGACTACTCCATAAGAGAGTCATGACTGAAGGGAGAAAATTGAAAATATACAGTATCATCAGCTCGTATCCGTACAGTCTTAAAATATACCAAGATTCTCGCAGTTGTCAGGCAAAAGTTGGCACATGAGGGAATAATAGATAGGTAGGTTTTAAGGACGGTCTTAAAGGAAGAAATTGAAGTAGATTATTCAAATTGTGATAACAAAGAATTAATACACTATGGAATACAATAAAGCATTCTTGTACAGAAACTTGATGCGTGGGTTTTGTATGTTTCTTGGTGGAAAAGATAATGCTACTGAAATAATATAAAGGCATGCTGAATACATTTAGCATTCTTAATATAATTATTGAATAAAATGTATATATTCATTTCTTTCCTAAAATTTGTTGCACAACAAAGATGATCATTTTTAATACATTTCCACATTGTTATAATCAAAAAATGTGGCAGCCTTGACTGATTCATTTCCTCATTTTTGTTACCTTCTTCACTCGGTTTTTCATTTGATTCATGTGCAGGTGATCTCAACTTGCTTCTATGGTATTTGAAACTGACAGTACTTTTGGCTGTGAATAGTATTGTCAAGCTGAGTGGTGAGTTTACCTATGTTTCATTGCTGGTAGTTATATTCTACATGTATTAAAAGTGTAAGAAGGAGCATCTACATGCTTAGTTTATTTAAATTAGTTCAGTGTAAGAGATTTTATCTGATTTGACTCAAACAGGATGTCAGACTGACACCCACATGAGTCAGGTCAGGGCTCATATTATAACTGCTAATGTTACACATTCTAAAATTACAGTCTAAGTGCACCATTTTAAATTGCAAATACCAGGACTGTGTTTAGTTGCACTGACTGCCAGTAATTGCAGAAATAAAACAAGCTAACTGTCTCTTTACTGGGTGTGATCATGAGTTGGGCTTCACTTATTGGCCACCACTGGTCCTTGGCTTCTTCAAAGTAGTATCCACCATTACATTATTTTTAAAATTGTCTGTTCAGACATGTTATGACACACTTCTGAGCAGTTGAACTTGGACTTTCTGGCCTGGAGATAGGGATATTACCACTGTGCCACAAAACCCTCACACACATGAAAACACGAGGCAGCCCAAGCTGTTAAGAGACAAGTGCTTAACTGTATTTTTTTTTCAAAGTTTTTGAATTATTAGTGATGTAGTTAGTGGCATAATGGCAGTGTCACTGGAGTAGTAATCCAAATCCTAAGGCTAATGTTCTGGGGACATCGGTTGAATCCCACCATGGCATATGGTTGAAATTTGAATTTAGTAACATCTATTCTAATGGTGGCCATGTAATGGTTGTTGTAAAAACCTATCTGGTTTGTTAACATCTTTTTGGGAAGGATACCTGCCATTACCTGCTTTGGTCTACCTGTGACTCCAGACCCCGACAATGTGGTTGACTTTTAGCTACCTCTGAAATAGGCTAGCAAGTCACTCAGTTCAAAGGTAATTAAAGATGAGCAACAAATGTTGATATTGCCAGTGACACCTACAACCCATGCAAGAATGAAAAACACCAAACATCTTTCTGGTCCTCTGTACGAGATTGACAGTTTAATATCAATAAGTAGCCTCAGTTGCGAAGCCAATAAACTTTACTGACACTCAGACTAGGCTGATATATTAAGAATTGTTATATGGGTTAGGCACTGAAGAGTTCCAAATCCCATGGAATTTGATATTTAGGAGAGGAGATTTTGGGGACGACTAAGCAGAACATTTAAATAACAATCATTTTTTAAAAACAAAATCTAGTTATAAAACATTAATTAGGAAATATGCTATCAGAAAACCTCTTCCAGGGACAGTACTAACTACTCTTGCATTAAAGAGTTGATATATGGGATGATGTGGTTGGTTGGCTTGCCGAGCTGGTTCGTTGTTCCGCTGACGTTTCATTACCCTGCTGGGTAACATCATCAGTGCAGCCTCCGATGAAGCGCCGTTGTGTTTTCCCACCTGTTATTTAAACTCTGGAGTCCGTTGACCTGGATTGCCTCACTTCCGGTTTTCCTTCGCAGTGGAGTGTATATGGGGTTGAGTTCTATGTGTTTGTTGATGGCTTTCTTAGTGGAGAACCAGGCTTCTAGGAATTCCTGTGCTTGTCTTTCCTTTGCTTGTCCCAGGATCTTGGCGTTGCCCCAGTCGAATTGGTGGTTCTCCTTATCCATGTGGATAGAGATGAGTGAGTATTGGTCATGTCTTTTTTTTGTAGCCAATACTCACTCATCTCTATCCACAGAGTTTAAATACCAGGTGGCAGCTCACTATGATTACACATTATAAAATAGTACGGTCTAATTAAAGGGATATTGCCTTAGTAAATTGACTTTTAGGTGATTCTACCAAGTTTAGAAACAGGGTTGTTGAATAAAGCATTTGGTGATGAGATAAATCATTACATCACATCCTTGCTGAAATGGAGTGTATGTTCCCAATGCAAGTATGGCACCATGATCCATCTCACATACACATATACACCTGTGTTATGTCAGCTCTCATTTTCTACCCACGTAAGCTTTTAACTCAGAAACCTCTGGAAGTACAAAAATGCATATTAAGATAATAACAAATAACTGTGGAGGCTGGAAATCTAAAACAAAAACAGAAAGTGCTGTAGAAACTCAGCAGGTCTGGCAGTATGTTTAGGGAGAAAAACAGAATTAATGTTTCAGGTCCAGTGACCTTTCGTCAGAACCAAAAAATGCTGGCAAATGTGGTATTTATGCTGATGATAAGGTAGGATTGGGTGGGTTGAATAAAGTACATAGAGACAGATCCCAGAGAAAGAGAAAAGGAATAGGCAAACAAAGAGATAGCTGATGATAAGGCAATAGAGGAATAAGTGCTAATGATAAAGTAGAATGCAAAGAAAATGTGTAAATGGTTGAAAATGGGTTGGCTGTGCTGGGAGCAGCCGATACAAAACAGAACTTGGGGGTGTGCGGAGAGGGTAACGAACATGAAGGAGGGTGTTCACATGCTGAAAATTTCAGGTCCTGTTTTGTATGGGTTGCTGATTTGTCATGCAGACTGTTGCCAACAGCATGGATTCAATTCCTGCACTGGCTCAGGTGACCATGAAGGACACTCCTTAACTTCTCCACTTGCTTGAGGTGTGGTGACTCTCAGGTTAAACTACCACCAATCATTTCTCTCTAATGAGAGAGCAGTCCTTTAGTTCTGTAGGACTATGGTAACTTAAACAGCTCAAAGCAGGAAGATGAAAGCATTCTGCATATTGGACACCAGGTGGAGCCAATATACTAATTTTGACTCCATTTTTAAATTGTAATTTTTCTCTATTTAATTCCTTTTTCCTCAGCAACTGCTTTCTCCTGCTATGGTATGTTTCCTTGGGGTAATTGCCCTCTCTTAACACACCTATCTGACAATTTTTCATAATGAGCCAAGTGAATGTTTACTACTGCACCTGAGTGAAAGTATCACAGTGAGGATAACCTGTTGTCGCCTGAGGCCCATGCTTGTGCACTACCCAGCTGAGGAATGAGCAGCAATGGGAATCCTGGTTGATTTTCAGTAGCCAAGTACTCCAGCCTGTACTATTTCCTAACAGTAGCTATGCTGGTGGGCAGAATATTGGGTGGCACAGTGGCTCAGAGGTTAGCCCTGCTGCCTCACAGCACCAGGCACCTAGGTTCAATTCCAGTCTTGGGCGACTGTTTGTGTGGAGTTTGTACATTCTCCCCGTGTCTGTGTTGGTTTTCTTCCACAGTCCAAAGATTGGGGCGGATTGGCCAAAATAAATTGTCCATAGTGTCCAGGGATGTGCAGGCTAGGTGGATTAGCCATGGGAAATGCAAGGTTACAGGGATAGGGTAGGGTGTGTATCTGGGTGGGATGCTCCCCAGAGGGTTGGTGTGGACTTGATGGGCTGAATGGTCCACTTCCACACTGTAGGGATTCTATGAATTAATTAAGAAAAGCCTTGTAACAAAGGCAATGCAATAATCATGGGGCACTTTAATCTTCACACAGACTTGACAAATCAAATTGGCAACAGTAGTTAACAGAGTAAATTTATGAAATACGTTAAAAGCAGATTCATAGAACTTCAAATGTGTATTCTGTTGAGAAATTATGGCTCATGGGAAAAGTGATCCATTTGGAGTTAACTAAAGAGATAAAGAATAGTATTAGATTAAAAGAAGAAATTTATAATATTGCCCATAAGAGTTGAAAGCCCAAGAATTAGGAGAGTTTTAGGAACCAGCGAGGGATGGCCAAAAATTTGATAGTAGAAGAAAATAGAATACGAGAAACCAGCAAGAAATATAAAAACATATTGTAAGAGTTCCATAAGTATGTACAAAGGAAGAGAATAGTGAAAGTAAGCATGAGACACTTAAAGGCGGAGATACGAAAAGTTATTAAACCTACATATGTATTTTATATTAAAACTCTTATATAGTATCTATTTGCAGTAGAAGACACAAAAACATACTAGAAACAGTGGGGAACAAAGGGTCTAAGGAGAAC